TCAGAAGAAATATAGATTCGGTTATTGACAAGCATGTGTTTAACAGAAATGGAAATTCTATTTATGATTGTTCATCTATCTCTTCTAATGGACGAGTTGGAGTATTTTTGTTTGCAATCAGTATACGTCCAAGAGACATGTCGATCACTAGCCATACATTCTTTCTTACGTGTGAGTTGAAGATGCAATCAAGACTTTAATTAGAGATCAATCTATTTGAAACTAGTCAGGAAGTACCAGTCAGGTGCAATTGCGAATGCACTTGTCAAACTTGTTTGCGTTATGCTAAAATCCCTAGATGGATTGGTTTCCATGTTTCCTTTTTATTTTATGCATGATTATGGCGCATTGAAGGGAAGTGATTATTATAAGACAGTGGAAAGTGTAATATACCTGTTGGCAAAATGGAGTGCGTTTGTTACTAAGCAATGCCACTGTCGATAAGGTAATCTCTGTTGGCAATGCAGTACAATCTGCCGATAAGTCTTGAAAGCAACTAACGACCTACGTTATCAGACACTATAACTCTACCTTATCGAGCATCCACTTTTTTCCCATTTAATTAAAAAGATGAAAACAAATTCAATACATTTAACCAGGAGTCACTCAAATAAAAAAAATAGTACCAATAACAACGTCACTTAATAATAAAATTAATAAACTCAGTACAAAGAGCAGTTACATTCAGACTCCAGAATCCTTGCTATCATTTTTCCATTACCTGTTATAGCAACACAAATCTCTGATGTTTCGATTGTGTAGCTTCCTCTGTTTACCACACTCGATAGCTTGGATATTAAACATGTCTACTATGAAACTTGAATTTATACAAACTTTGAATTGACGTAGGAGATTGGCACAAGTTTGAATGCGCACAACAGCAGTATTGCATTGGGTTCTGAAGGCTCTGTAGTAGGATTGGGAGTAATAACGCAAGGCAAAGCTGGGTGAAAGGTTTCTTGTCGCATGCTAAGATGACACAGGGTTTACAGGGCGGGAGTGATACGGTGTTTACAAGTAAAGATGACGTCAGAGTCCAGTTGTATGGATGAAATACTGCGGACAGGTCAGGCACTGCATTCTCGCTAATGTAGCGTGCAGCTATGATTAAGTAATGTCAACGGAGATCACTCAAAGACGACAGTTTAATGAGAGTGTCGCAAAATCTTATATACAAGCGTATATTTCCAGTTACCAACCATGCACGCAGTTCTTGCGAGATGTCTTTGAAGATTCAAAGAAGATTGATGTACAAGATGTGTGTTTTGATGGTTCATTTCGCCAACGCTTCTTCCTAAACTTCCTTCAACTTCACGTGGACTACATTTGAATTTCGTCAAGATCTCCAGACTCGAGAGCACAGAAAGTGATCGATTCGGCCCGAAATGACCCTTGCGAAATGACCTAATATAATCAATTTCGTTGCCAAACTACTTGGGTAGTCCTTCAAATAGTTTAGACCGCGCGCTTCCGTTTAATATTCAAACTACTAAACAAGAAGGGACCGGGTCGCAGACTTAACACACCCGGTCAATCGATGACGATACCCCACGCCATTCTCGAAACACGTACTCAAATATGAACCGTTCACTGCACAAATCGATTCACTCGACTTTTTGAAAAATCTTAAATTTAAGCGTCAAAGCAGTTGGTACAGTCATAACTTTTTATATTCATTATAACTTTCCCGAATAATGAAAATCAACGCCATTAACCCTTTGCAAAGGGTTAAACTACAAAATTCTTTTGTCCATTGAGTAATAAATAATTTATTTCAGAGGCCATTTCATCGCATTTCTCTATTTTTTGTTTTATGGAGTTAATCGATTCGTGCAATGAACGACTCACATCCCCCCTATTTTCTATAAAAACTTCAAACAAAAAGACTATCCAAAAAAGAAAACAAGGAAAAGTACTGTGCGTGTCCCTGAATCAATCAATGCACATTCAATCCGTGGCCAGGCAAATTCAGTTATCGTTCCATCGAGGGTTGTAAACGTTTCTGGGGCTGTTCAATCTCGCCCCCTACCCCCCTTATCGAGATCGAGGGGGTGGCACGGGAAACTTTCCCGGGCGAATCTCTTTCAGCACTTTCCTATAAACGACACGCCGTTCGTTAAGACATTTTTAATCAGCGAGGGGCAGAGAGTTCCGCGACGAAAGCGAAGAGGGATGAAAAAGGACGGGAAAATCGCTGATCTTCGTATTCCAACTGACTGTAACAGCCAGACTCTTCCTTGACCTTATTAAGAGCCCTCTGTTCGGACTTTCCACTCACGGTGGGGAAGCGGGAGGTGGTAACGGAAAAGGAACGAGGCGTGCTGAAATCGAGCGGATCTCTCCTGGAGATCTTCTCCCAACCTTTCGTTTCTTCTTTTTTCTTTCTGCTTTTGTCTCTTTTTTGTTTTTTTTTTTTTTTTACTTTCCTAGATCCAACGACGATTATCGCCTCGAGATGCACCGCGAGAGAAGACGCGCTGCAACGTAACCAGCCCGAGATTTTCATGAAATCGCCGGTTGATTACATTTCAGGAGGAGAGGGACGAGATTTTCATGAAATCACGGGTTGATTACACGATCGCTCGCTGCTCGAGTTTCTGGGATTGCGAATTCATATGGTAATGCCGCTGAACCTTGCACGCTGCACGGCCTTTGGTAAACTTCATGAAATTCTTCTTGAGAATTCAATTCTGTCCTCGGGCTCGAATGCAGTTTGTACCGGGTTGTACGGAGGAGGTGAGCAGAGCAGGATATTCAGTGTAATTCTCATCTCGAGACGGTTTCGAGGAGAATTGATGAGCCGCGGGACTGGAATCAACTACATGCTAGGGGAGATCACTGTTTCTTACGTGAGTTGTTTCCAGGGGAGACGTGACAATGAGAATTATTGCCGCTGAAGTTTGTTTAAGATGCTTGAGTGGATTTATGGTGAGAGTATACCGGGTACAATGCTATTTTCAGAACGAGGCGCATTCGCGTCTTGATTTGAGTAACTTTAATTCGGAGGTAAAGAACCTTTCCTCAACTGATAAAGATTGTTGAATTTAGACCAACGATTGATTAAGGATATTTTATGTACTAATCCTTTTAGAGACAATGAAAAAATTGTATGATATGTTATGTATTTATGTCGAAGTTACTGTTGAATAGACAGAACAACGGGCAGAAGATGAGAAACGATCTCTCAAAGTACCATTTTTACCATTTGTACTATGTTTACCATTGTGACATTCTTATGTCATCATTCTGATGTTCATATTTAATGCATTTTAAAGTTTCAGATTATTATACCAATGTTTTTCAAGACAGTAATATTTCCGAACACGAAAAATTGAGAATAAAATTTAAACAAGTAATCATGAGGTATTTTTCTATATTTTAATATCTATTGATTGGAACAATTAAAACTTAATATCTCCGACATAAGTAAACATTTGTGATACATACAGTATCATTCAGTGTCCGATTAAACATTAATAACAATTGCGGTTCAGAATAAGTATTCAATCAAGACATTAATCGTGAGAAATTTGTCAATATTTTAATATCTATCGATTGGACAAACTGAATATTAATTTCTGACAATAGTTAAATCAATTATTAACAATACTTATTATTTAAACAATGATGGGGAATACGATTTTGCTGTAATATTAATGTTACACAAATTATTTTCTCGATGGATCCAACGAGCCATCGAATCAACAACCACGCGGTTGTTGTTCGCCCTTCCCCTTCTCTACTTCGACACGCACAAGCGAGCCGCGACCCTCGACCGAGACAGGTATACGAGGGGGTGAGAGCTCATTCTTCGACGATACATCGGTCGATATGGATCTCGCGATCGCGCGTCCGCGTCTCGCGTCCCTCCCATTTTTGCTTGTGTAGTTTCCCTTAGTTATCGTAGCTTGGTATTGCTTGTGGGTACCTTAGTTTGGTTTGGTTAATTTTAAGGCATGGTTCTGTTAGTTTTAAGGCATGTACCTAAGTTAGTTTTAAGGCATGCGTGTACGAGTGTCTATCCTCTATCAAATAATTATTAATCATTTGTTCAATTCATTTGTTTGTTCGTAGGTCCATGTTGGACTCGCAACTTTGTTCTCCACTTCGGTCACTATTACTTCATGTCACAAGTGAAGTGACCAACTGTGTAACTGGACAGAAAGGTCGGTTGCCGTCCTCCTGGTGGATCTGTATTCGAGAGGAAGACAATCGGCTCCTCCGGATCGGTTCTCTACTTCCTGCATCACGTTTAGTGTAGTCCAAGGCTCCCGGCGCAGTGCAGTAAGTCCAAAGCGCAGTGAGACGGGTGCAAGTCGGGTCGTACAGTGGCTCCCAACGGGGTGCAGAATGTGGAGGACTGGTTCGGAGGCGTCGGTCGTTTTCCTCTCGAGTCCAGATCCAACAAGAGGAAACGGGACTGACTCAGTATGTCCAGTTTCATGGTCGCGTCGTGTCGCGATCGCAATTTAGCTTCACCCTCTGAGTTCAAATAATTATTTGGCAGAGTCAGGCTTAGACTTTGGAAATCGAAGGGAATTTTGTTTTCCTGTGATTTTCATCGTTTCGTACTTAGTATTAAGCTCGTTGACTCTATGTAGAGTATGCATGTACGTATGTATGCTCTATGTGGAGGGAGATCGAAGGAAGTTTGATTCCTTCTATCTCCGGGTCTCCAGTCGCAGCAACCTCCACGTGGTGAGACCTGGTAATCGGTATTATTCGCAACGAACAATCCTTCATATAATACGAATAATACCGAGAGCTAATGGCTGCGAAATTGTAATAAGATCTTTAGACATAAAAGGTGTAAAGTGTAAAGTGTAAAATGCCAAGTGTAAAGTGTAAAATGTAAAGTTATGTACCATTTATACTATTTTTACCATTATTCCTATTCCAACCCTATAATAATGACTAAAGATACTGTGCAAAATGAAACAACGTTCGACTCGAATACTCTGAGTATTCATAATACTAATAATAAATATTAATAAACCTACCTTCTTGAAGTAACCACCATGGAGTCGCATGTGGCCATTGAGAGCTGGTATATTTTTGAATTTCCTATGGCACAAATTGCACTCAACCGGTTTCGGCTCGGTCTGCGACTTGTTGTTTGCTGTGACTGTGCCAGGGGAAGCGGAATTCCCTGGCGATGGACTGCTTTTCCCTACGTTTCCGCTCCCAGGCGAGTTAGCTTGCGGTTGCTGTTGCTGGTGTTGCTGTTGGGGCTGCTGTTGCTGTTGTTGCTGCACCTGTTGTTGGGCCTGTTGCTGCTGTTGCTGGAACAAACAAACGACGTATCGATTATTATCTATGCATTTATCTCAGTCATTTAAATTATTTCTTGTTACATTATTTTATCTATTGATCAGAAAAGGTACTCTTTCGTTGAATAATTTTATTTTTCAGTATTCGTAGAAGATATTTGATTGTATTCTATTAATCTGTTGTTTCTTTTTATAGCTATTGCCATGTCCTGTTTTCAACTGGTTGTCATTTTCAAAAGAACATAACTTTTAAAATTGGTTTCACAGAAACTCTAATTATACAATTAATAATTTTAATAGTACTCTCACACGCAGTTGGTATTGTTATTAGTATGCGCTGTGCTATGGAAAGGGTAGGCGCGAGTCTTCAGAGGTAAAAGTGCTCCCAATATGATATTTAATTTCACAGTACTTGTGTTCTCAAAGTCTCCAGCAAGGGGGACAATTCTTTCACACCTGTGCCTGTCAATTAACAGAAACATTCTGCGATTCAAGTGCCCTCGACTCTCTTTGAAGAGTCGAGTTTGCTCCAGGACACAATTACCATAAAATTAAATATTCGATTGTAGTCTCCTCGAGTGATCGTTTTCGCCCCAACTGCGACGAAGACTGACGTTGCAGAATTGTCATTGTATATTCCGTTCTCCTCGTCGATTGAAATTTTTGTTCATATTTCTTTCAAGTTTTTCATTGAAGTATCGATACGCGAAGATTAAACTAGACCTGGGATTTTTATAATAAATTTTAGACATCTAACACTTTAATAACCATCTTATGAAGTTTAAATTTCTATCGTTTTTTGTATTCCTCGCTAAACTTTGCCACTTACCACTGCCTCATCCTAGAGTATTACCAGAAACCATTTTAATTATATTATAAAATAATTTCTCAAGATCCAATAAAAAAAAATGAGCATGAAAGAAAAAATAATATCACCTATTAGGTGTTCAGTAAAGGGTTGAAACTTTCTAGATCATCCCTAACAATAGATAACACCCCTTAACAAAATCTAGAAATCAAACCACACTATGTATACTATATAATGTAGGAGTGTGATATAATAATATGAGGGTAAGTGTCTGAGTGTATCCGTGTATGCAATGGTTGCGTGAGAACGCGGTGTAATTTGGTATTTACAATAATTCGGAGTTTAGTTCGGTCGAAACAGTTGTAAAAGTCAGACAATAAATAATTCGTTGTCAAGCTGTAATACGTTTTAAAGTCATTAGATTCCTACAATAAGTTATAAACTTCCACCTGAAACGTCGATGCAGGAACAAGCGTTACAGCAATCGGTGTCTTTTAATTTCACCCGCGACGTACTCCCTCCAGATAAGCTCACAGCGGGGCGCGGGCGTTCCTCGCGCTGCTCTTGTCGTCGCAACAAGAAAATTGAAATTCTCCGAGTCGTGACGGGTTTTCCACCGCGGAAGCGCGAGAAACGCTGTTCGAGAATTTATCGCGCAACGTAATAAAAATTCTAATAAAAGCGCTCGTTTCTTTCTCGAGGGCGTTTCACCCTCTTCGCGCGCGCGCGCGAACCGTTCCATTCTCTTGAGATAAAGGTGGAGCGATGCGTGATAATAATATGGCTACGTAGGACGCGGAATTTCTTCTGCTACCGTCCCCACTCAACCTCCTCTCGCCTCCTGGTTAAGTCCTCTCGAGAGCCGAGCCATTCCTCTTCCGCCTGCTACGAGCTGCGCGGAAATTCTGGAACTTCGCGAGCGTTAACGGGAGAGGGCGAAGGGGGTGACTGGCAGGGGAATAGCTAAGTACAGATCGAGAACGATGCACCTTGTTACCCTGGCGTAACGTTTCGTAATTTTCGTCTGCTTCTATCGAAGGGAGGAATACGATGTACGCTTTAGATCTTTTGCTTTTAATGCAGTTTCGTTTTCATTCTAGTCAGTTCAATTGTTTCTTAAAAGTGGGGATTGCAAGCAATGGTTTGGATTTGATTCGAATTAATTCTGAGGGGGCTTATAGAGAGGATGAAGATGACAGGTATTTCTTTTGGTTTCTATAGGCAGAGTTTAGAGGGTGCAAAGGGCTTTGAAGTAGAGTCATGCAATTTTTGTTGGAATACTATTCTTCTTTCTTTAACTATTTCTGAGTTATTATAGCATAAGAGTCCAAATTCCATCTCTTAACCATGCTGTGAAAAAAAGAAGTACATGTCCACTGTTTTTATTTTGAATTTCCTTGAGGTTTCAGGTGCTCACATATGTTCTATTACTAATTAAAAATATACCTGTAAGATTTACCAATATGCACACAGGAATGTTGAATAGTTTCGCAGCTTTGTTAATTTAGAGAAATATTATCTACGGTATCTTTCTTTATTTTTGAATAGATTTAAATTAAGAGAAGGAACATGATACCGTGAGAAGAAAAATTGTCAAATCATTTCTATGTAGCATTCCACGTTTGTTTCTTTTTTATTTCGAAGGATTATCATATTACTTCAAAAAGACCACATTTTTAAACTATTAAAAGAACTAAATCTACTCTATATATTTATATATAGTTTCCTATATTCTACATACATATTTAGATCTAATCTGTTTATATATAAAATAAGTAATTCCAAATAAAATATATATATTTAAAATGTACAATTTCAAACACATCATTTTTTAATATACATACATTTATCAAATATGAGCAACCCAATATAAAATACCTTTACGTTTCCATACGCGTATGACGTACACTACCATTCCTACGACAATCAATAATTCGCGATATTTTCTAGTCCGACATTCATGCATATTCCGCGCAAAGTAGAGAAACACATACGTAACAAATATGTAAACATAAATAGCGGGCATTGTTCCGGTATGAATTTATAATATCAAATCCGGCGAGTTCCGGTGAAAAGCCCACCGACCGCGGGCTTTCATCGTTCGCTTTTTATTTCCCTAGAAGCCATTTGTTACCCGAATATCGAACGAGACGCTACGATTGCGGGCTTTTCAGCGATTCCACGTACCGCAACACGCGAAACGCTTCACAATCGTCGGGCTCGATCGAACCGGGGCGCGCGCATCTTTCCAACGAAAATTAATCTTCATTTAATTTCGGCGCAATTCCGTCGGGCGTTAATTTTCGCCGCGCCTCTCGTCCCGTAGCTGATTGATTCCGAAAGCAGACGCAGGATTCATTAGCCGTCGAATTCGCGTGACAAATTTCGAAACCAGAGATCGATTTCGGTCGACGGAAAACTATTTATCGGATTAAAAGGCTCTTGGTTATTTTTGTGAAAAATTGACGAGCCCCGTGGTAAGCTTCATTCGAATTTAGGTATCGGAGTTTAAACTTCTTCCTTGTTACAAAATAGATCTTTAATATTATTATTTTTTCTTGAAGCATGATGGTGGTTTACAAGCTGCGACAACTTCTTTAATTTTTAATATTCTCCGGGTATTTTTATTTTATTTCGTGGCTGGGGATTCGAGAAGCTTTAGGTACTCATTATTTATGTATGTCGGTGAAAAGTGTTTCTTGAATATTATTCTATTTCCCTGTAGCATGCTCGTGTCCTACGGGTTGAGACAATTTTTTGTTCTATTTGATCTGGCCACAACTCGTACAATTTTTAATACACTTCAATCATTTTTCTTTTATTTTGTAGTTGAGGATTCGGTATATTTTTAATACTATTTATTTATGCATAGAAAATTCCCTGCATTGTTGATAAAAATACAAACTGCTAATGCATTGCTGGTATAGTCGCGTCTATTAATTTTCATCATTCAGGGAAACTATATAACTATACCAAACTTTTTTGGAACATTGTTATACATATCAAGAATTATTCTTAAAGTTTTATCTCTTGTGATCTTGTCCAATGAAACGATCAAACTATTAAATATATATTAAACGACCAAATAAAAAATAAAGGAGGAATATCGAGATAAAGAGACTATCTCGAAATCGAATCGAACGCCTCGTCAGTCACGAGCCCAGCTCGTTGGTATTCCGACGGCGATTTCGATACTTCAATAAATCATCGAACATCAGAGTCTCCGTCTTCCGTACTTCGTCTCTATCCACCAAGGGGGTTGGCGAGCGATGAAGAAGACAGAGTCGAGACCCGCGGAACTTTCTCGACGAGGTTGTCGTTACGTAGTCAAGTCTTCGCAGCGAAATCGCGCTCTCTGGTTTTCATTCAGCCAGCAAATCGTTCGCCCACGCCAGTGATTCTTAACCGCTGTGTCATATCGATAGAGCAGATTTAAAGAATAAATGAAAATAGCGTTAATTTTACAGTAATAATGCAGAGTATAATATATATTATAATATTATATTAAATTACTGCTGTATATAGACGATAACGAATCGCAAACCAAGGTATTATAAAATACAATTACTCACAGTTATTTCCAAAATAAAAGGACTATTTAGCAGGATTAATAATATTCTCAAAGGAGTGGTTTAAACGATGAATATTTGAAATGGAAATATAAAAAAAAACATTTCATTTTGCGCTGTAGTGTATTACAATAAAAATACTTCTTTTTTCGACATTCTGCTTTGTATCTGAAATGACTATTCCAATTTATCTGTGTAGAAGCTGTTATTTAAAATATTTGAAATATTGTTTCACTAAATTCTACCCCGATAAATTATTACTCTGTACAGCTTCACATACCACCAAATCAATACAGCCTATTTTTCTCAATATTTTTCAGCAATCTATAAATAGAAGTAGCATCCATTTAGATATCTATTTTATTTATGATCAGAATAAATGAACAGTTCATACAATACAGCAGTTTAAGAATCACTGAGTAATTAATTTAAATATAATGTAATCATTTAATCTATAGCATCTGTTATTTGAAACATTAATAAATTCTATCTAGCTTTAGTCGAAACAATAAAACATAAATTATTAATACTCTGTATAGATCTACATAGCATCTAATCAATACACAGCATCATCCTCAATATCTTTCAACAATCTTCCAACAAAAGTAATCATTCATGTAGATATTCACTTAATCTTTAATTAGAAGAAATGAATAATTCATAGAATGTAGAGGTAGACTTCTACTACATAACATCAATTATTTTAAACATTTAACACATTCACGACCGCTGACGTTAATTCACGTCACTTCGAATTCTATTCCTGGTTATAAAAGAAATATGAAAATCTTTTAATTTTATACACTACATATTTACAACGTTGATATTTCAAAACATATTTTTTAATATTTATCGTCGCCCTAACAATACAAATTTGCGACGTCCAGCTTTACAATTTTGTTATTTTCGCCAGTACTCGGTATTAGAAACGTAAATATCTGCCGGTCGCGAATGTGTTTAAGATCCTCCTTTACATTCTACCCAACTCTAGTCAAAACACCAAAACCCAAATGATTATTTCTCCCAATCCTCGATATCCTTCAAGAAACAGGAGTACCCATATAAATATCTATTTCACTTACAATCAGAGGGGATAAATAATTCACACAACACACATGGTTAAGAACCACTGGTTCATTTCCCAGCGAATCGTCACTCTCCATAGAACCGAAGAGAGACGCTCGATTTCGAACGTGCGGTCGCACGTGCGTCCTACGTGAGACGCATGCGATCGCAGCCTCGTTCCCTCGTTCCATCCCCACCCGAGGTTCCACGCCGGGAAAGAGTTTCAAGAGCTTTTCTTTCGGGTCACATCTCGTCTTCGAGTAGCCTCCTTCCCCGTGAATATCGTCGGTGCGAAGGCTCGACGAGCGAGCGTCGTGCGAGCGTCCCGCTCTTTTGTCGCTTAAGAGAACGTACTTCCGGTGAGTGGCTTCCGAGTCAACGCTGGGACCGTGGGGGATGAAAGGGGTACACAAGCACCGCTGAAAGAAACACCGTCGAGGAAGAGCACCGTGAGGGCTCTTCACGAGGGGCTGATCGCCTGGGTAATTAATCGGGACGGAATCACGCAACATGGCTCACGGCGATCAAAGATTGTCGAGGGTACCCGACAAAGCCTCTTTTCTCTCGTGGCGACACCTGTCGTGCTTGATTTCGCCTAAATTCTCCGCCGAGGCATGGTTGAGAGTCAAATATAAGGACTTGGCATAATTCCTTTGAGGAATTTATTGTGGGAGGAATGGCTCCTTTGAAGTGACAGCAGGTAAGGCAAATTTTATTTAAATTATTGTTTCGAACTCTGAGCTTTTTTGAAATTATAAAGTCGAATACAGAGGGTGGTTCTTTCTTCAAGGGCTGAAATGGTATAGTTATCAGAATGTATATAATTTTATCATACATATTTGTTAGGTACTTACTAAGGGAAATAAACGTAGTATCATGTTATATATACATATAAGATTGTTCTGAACCACCTCTGAGCTTTTTTGAAATTATAAAATCGAATATAGATTATTGGGTGGTTCTTTCTTCAAGGGCTGAAATGGTATAGTTGTCAGAATATATATAATTTCATCGTACATATTTGTTAGGTACTTACTAAGGGAAATAAATGTAGTAACATATATGTATATACATATAAGTGAAGCTTGTATGAGGAATTTTAAAAAGAAGGCACATGTTGGCAATATGGATTTATTGCTTTCAGTATATCTCTGTAAAGGAG